TGGAGTTAGTGTGCATATGCGCCAATGTATCTTTCTAGTTTTGTTGCTATTCTTGTGTTCTCCAGAGAGAAAGAGAGTTTGTGAAGCAGGCTTGCTGGCGGCTGACTACCTCTGGTGGCTGCCGCCACACGTGACCATGCTTTCGAACCTATGGTTTCCAAGGACCTGTTTGCCAGTTACTTAGCTCATAGACCTGCGTGTGGAGGGTCTGGTGACCCACGCTGGCGTGTGAAGGGTTTGTAACCCAGTCTGTGAATGGGCTTGAGGGGTCTGTGAGCTCTAGACCCAGCCCTAGCTCGACAGTTGGCCCAGTCAGTGCAGGATTACCGGCAGGTAAAAGAGCCCGACAACTGGCATAGTCATGTAGCTTTACAATTGGCATCACAAACAGGATTAAGAGCATTACAATTGGCACTGTGAGCAGGATGCTGACATTAGCCAGAGGACCACACAGGTGTCCATCTGGTCAGAGTTGTTGTCCGTCTGTCCACACTGGCATCTGCAGAGAAGTCTGCCATTCTGTTTGAGCTCTGGCCCTTCCTACACCCAGGTCACCAGTCGTCCTCTCCATCCCAGCCGCAGGACTTCAGATCTGCCTCCCCTCTTGGCTTCACCAGGATCCTCAGAACCACAGACAACCCCCCCTCTGTGGGGCCTCCTGACAGATTTTCCTGCCCTAGTGCCCCTGCAACAACGGGTTCTGTAAGGGATTCTGGGGTCTTTCCATTTTCCTGAGTTTCATTTTGAAACAAAGCATGGGTCCCCTATACTCTGGGATTCCCTGAAACTATGGAGATGGTATATGTGGACACACATGCACACGTGGCTTGTATTCACACACACACACGTAAACACACACACACAGGCACAGAGTTTATTCTCAGGGACTTCCAGAATCTAAACTCTTTTCTCTACTTCTAGCTGGTGGGGGTGGGGTAGTGGTTCTGAGTTTAGAATATGCTGTCTATTACTATACATTCTTCTTTTTTTTTTTTTTTTTGTCTTTTGTCTTTTGTCTTTTTTCCGTGTCCGGCAACGGNTTGCTCCCGCGCCTCGCTCAGCCAGTGAGCGGGATCCGGTCTGTATGTGGGATCCGAACCCCGCGCTTCCCAAGCAGCGCACTATCCAGTGCGCCACTGGGCCGGCCCCATTACTATACATTCTTCTAAAACTTTTGTTTATGGCAAAAATTGTATGCTCCCATTCCTTCAAGGTTTAGGCTTTTAAAGCTAAAAAGTTTGTTTTCGTGAAGCTTATAGGCCTTGTCTCTGCTTTTCTTATGAATCATCCCTCCCCCAGAGGCAATGAATGCTGCTGACTACATAGCAGGAGGCCCCAGAATACAAGGAAATGGTGAGGGAGGGAGGGAACCCCATTTACTATCTCGAAGCTATGAAACCAACTGTAAATCAGAAGCTCACTGGGTTTGAAGGTTTTAGGAATTCCAGGTTGTAGAAAACTGAGGATCTGGGCTAAAATGTTCTTGGTCTATAGAGCAAATGTAATGGGAAACTCTGAGGTATGGAAATAACCTGTTTCAGGAGGTGGCACAGGATCCCTGAGGCCAGGCAGAGGTTCCTCTGTTCTGGGACTGACCTTTCTGACGCAGGGCCAGTCAGTTTTCACATGCAGATGAACAAATGGTACTTGGCTTCGAGTTAAAAACCAGCCAGTTCCCTGTGAACTTTTAATTTCTTTATTCAAAATTTGTATTGTTTCCTTTATGTAAT